TGCATGTAAAAGACACAATGCAAATAATGTGGAAAACAACAAATATACAGTAAGGTGCATAAGTATTTGGACACGCATACAACTTTTGTGCAGACTTTCAGCTTTTATTCAAGAGGTTTAACAAAATTATGGCATGAAGAGTTAAAGAATGACAGGAAGAATTTTTTTTCAAATTCTTATAAAACGTAATAAAGTAATAGTAAAATCTTCTGATCTGACACCCAGATTAACAGGTCTTTACTGTTTCATATAAAGATGGATGCATTGAAGTATGGCATCACCCAGTGGGTTGCTTTGGAACCCTTTAATAAAATATAATATTTTGTATTCATATTTGATTTGGTAAATGACTTAAGTTTTGTGCATTAATTGAAACTAATGCACAAAGGGTTAGGTATGGTGTCATTAAAAAATACTGCAGTCACTGATAATGAGCAAGTATCAAAACAAATGATGGATATGCTCTTCTACCCCAGTGTCGGGCTTTCTTGCTGAGGAGTGAATATTTCGCACACAAAGAGAAATATTATCTTAAAGCCAAAGCTAATTTGGTGGAACCTTGTGTGGCTGGGCATCTTAAAGTCACACTGGAATAAGAGCCAATTAAACAGAGCCCCTCAAAGGAGCCAGCTTCCCATTTCTTTACTGTCTTTGAACAGGCCAAGTTCCTTCCGATAAACAGATATAATTGCCTATTTATCAGCCTTTTTGAAACTCTCAGATTATATGAAATATTCATTCACAGTGATAGTGAAAAGTGAGAGATGTGAAAGGAAGAGCACACGGTGTAGCATAGGGTGGTATGATTCTGTGTACTGTACAGTACTTGCTCTGTGAAGCTGGGCTTTTTTTCCTTTTTGTACTTACTACTGTTTGACATACGCACAGTGTCATGAAAAAGTTTTTGCCCCTTTCCTGATTCCTTAGTTTTTTACATATTTGGTAGATTCAAATGTTTAAGATCATTAAACAAATTTTAACATTGGACAAAGATAATCCGAGTAAATATGAAATGCTGTTTTTAAATGAGGGGGAAAGCAATTCAAACCTGCTTGGATCTGTGTGAAAAAAGTAATTGTTTAATTATACATTAACTTTGATGAATCAAGTTTTCTGGAAAGCTGAGTCCAGTTATTATTATTAGCCACTCCCAGGTCTGATTGCTGCCAGACTGATTGAGTCAAAAATCACTTAAAGCCAAATGAGCTCAAAAAACAACACTGTCATGGTTTGCTGTGTTGCAGGCAGGATGTAGGACCCAAATGCAGGACTCGTACACGGGAAGTAAACTCAAAACGGCAGCTTTATTGCTGGAAAAAACTCTTACACTAATACAGAAAACAAAACCAAAAACAAGAAACTAGAAACATGAAACATGAAACTCAAACCAAAAACCTAAGAAACTAAGAAAATGGGGAACTAAACTGTGAACAGAGAACTAGGAAATACCGGGATCATGAAGGAAACACACACAGAGAGGGTGCATGACACAACAACAGACAGAAGAAAACACAGGCCTCAATATACAAGGGAGTAACAAGAGAATGGGAAACAGGAGAGAAACACAGCTGGGACTAATCAAACATAATGAGACAAAGAGGAAGCAAAACTGAATACACTGAACACGGGAAAAGGAACTATCAAAATAAAACAGGAAACATGAGACCGTCACAAAGACACAGACTTGACACTGTGACATGGAGACATGACTGACTAGGGGAACAGAGAGACCATGAACCATTGAGACAAGAGTAACTAAATGTAGAACACAGGGAAGGCACCGTGACAGAAATCTAAAGACTAGAAACGAAGCGTATAACACGTGGAGACGACTAGGGGGAACACGCTAACACTAAATCAAAGAATATTAATCCAGGACCTGAAACACAAATACTGGGTTGCAGACCCAGTATTTGGGTCTGCACTTGATCTGACAATCTAAAGAAACAGATGAGAAGTCATTGATAGCTATCAGTCTGGAAATAGTTACAGAGCAATTTCTAAGGCTTTTTCATTTTCTAGTAACTGAGAAAACTTGTAATAATGGTGAAGACTCCCATCTCTGCAGGACCTGTACACCTCCAGGACACTGGGGCGTGCAGCTCGGATCACAGCTGACCCTTCTCACCCTGGACACAGTCTGTTTGACCTGCTCCCCTCAGGCAGGAGGCTCCGGTCCATTCGTACCAGAACCTCTCACCATAAGAACAGTTTCTTCCCCTCTGCTGTTGGACACATGAACAATAACCGTATGACTGTTCCCACCACTAACACATGACCCTACGCTGTGTTCACTGCATCATTCCATGTTCGGCACTGATCACCACCTGCACTCATGTATATATCTTTCTACGTAGCACTTTAATTCTTATTCTTATTTTTATTTTTTCATGTCTATTTAAGCGTAATTTATGACAGTATGTTTGCACTGAAGCACCGCAGCAATTTCCTAATGTTGTAAACCTGCTCAACATTTGGCAATAAAACCCTTTCTGATTCTGATTCTGAACCTTCCCACGAGTGGCCGGCCGACCAAAATTACTTCAACAGTGTATCAACAGGTCATCCAGAAGGACACAGAAGAACCCAGAACAGAATTCCAAGGAGAAACTCACCATTGACCGAAAGAACACAAAGGCTCGTTGCCAAAAAAAATCTCGATGATCTTCAAGTAAAATAGTTTTTGCTCAAGCACTAGTGATGTGCAATACCACTGATTTTCTTTCCGATCCGATACCAAGTAATATTCAGGGTGGTATCAACGATACTGATCCGATACCGATACTTTGTACAAAACCTTATTTTGTTTATTGTATCTCAAATTATAGCATCATAATGATTACAGGACATCAGATTACTTGTTCTTATCACTTAATAATGCAGAGTTCATCACATAGAAATAAAAAAAACTGAAGTTGTGTGCTATTTGAGCATGTTGCCTGGCTGCAGCACTAAAGGACTCCGTGAGAGACGTCTGTCTCGCACTAGCAGCACCTGTCCCTGTCCTCCTCTTCAGTTCGTCTCAACATACGCTCGTCATATTCTGTGATATGATTTACTCTGAGGTGTTTGACAAGGTTAGTGATGTTGCCACAACCATACATGCCAACCCTCCCGATTTTTCCCGAATTTCTCCCGAAAATCTCCCGGAGCCACCAGTCTCCTGAATTTCTCCCGATTTTCCACCCAGACAATAAAATTGAAAAACCATTTCGCAGAATTCATAGCGCGGCCCAGCCAATTCCAGTTTCCAACAATGGTGGCAGCTACTTAGTTTTAATATTGCTCTTATTTCTCTTTCTGGGTCGCAAAAAAACTTTTAATATATTTTCAGGTAAGAATGTAGCTGTGTAAACTTCAAATATCTGAGCCGACTGACACATCGTCTTCAAACCCCTGCGGTCTTTCACTATTCGGGTTAAACATGATATATAAGTCACTTTGATAACTTAAAAATGTTATTGTTTGGCTTTTTCAGTGTTTTATTTGTTCGTAAGTAAATCGGTTTGGCTGAGATTAAAGTTATTCGATTAGATTAAATTAAAGGTAACTTTATTAATCCCTCCGGAGGGTTACTCCGGGGTTTTCACACAGCTGAATAAACGTCAAACAGAAAATGATTAAACAGAAGAGTTTTACATCAGTGCCCGGTTATATTTTAGATAGCAAGGAGCAGACAGCAGAGTTTCACTCCACCGAGGGAACTCGTGACGTACTACCCGGCTTTCTTTAGACCGCGAAGGCCGGGTCCTCAGGTGGAACCAGCCTCTGAATTTGGACACCCCTGCTGTTTCCGGGCCGGCCAATAATAACGGTGACATTTAACGTATTTTATCCAATAAAAAAACCCTGTAAAATGTATTCCCCCCCCAACAGCCCTAGTATGGCCACAACACCTCACTCTTGGAGCACTTTTTTGCCACACGTATCGCAAACCACGTCTCAGCTGTTTGTGTAGGTAAAATCAGACTGCACATGACTCCGATTACGCTCAGCCATTGTTGTGAGTGCGCACGCCAAGGGGCTACGAGACATTTATACAGCCGTATTTCGCACATGACTATGAAAGGCGGAAGAGGAAATAGTTCCTTTGAATGTAGACAATCCGAATGTTATAGTTTCTTTCCACTGTGTTCCTGTTAATAACAAACTACAAATTTACTCTAAATTACTAAAATATCGATATTTTTATGTGAGAATCGATTCTAGAACATCAATGATTGGTATCGGAGGAATCGATATTTCAGGATCGATCCGCACATCACTATCAAGCACACTTGAGTTATGCAGAAGGTCAGTGATGAGAAACAAACAAGCAAGTCACGTCTGAACAGCTAAAAAATAATAATAATTTAAGATTTTGAAGTGGCCTAATCAACATCCAGACTCAGATCACATTAGGATGCTATGGCATGACCTTAAAAAGGGTTGTTCGTGCTCAGAAACCCTCAAATGTTGCTGAATTAAAACAATTACCCCAGAGCAATGTGAAAGATTCATTACCAGTTATCTTGATTGCAGTTCCTGTTGCCAATAGTTGCACAACCAGTTATTAGCTTAGGGGGCAATTGCTTTTTTCACACAGAGCCACATAGGTTTGGATAGCTGTTTTATGTCCAATATTAAAATTTCTTTAATGATCTGAAATAATTGTGAAAAATATCAGCAAAGGCCCCGAGACTTTTTCTGTACAAGAAGATCAGAAATCACAGTACGATATATCCCTGACACCTCCTCTGCTCTAAAACACTATTACATTACTGAGCATACTGTAAATGAGTTCACACCATATGTAACTGATATGGTGTGATACTGTAGCTATAAAAGAAATAGGCCGACAGTGCACTGATTTCATTACGCATAAGATGCATTTGAATGAATGTTACTAGATGCACCATATCTGATCGCAAACCGCAAAGAAAATGATGCAAATATTTTTGATATATTATTACTTAATTCAGTGTCTTTAGATTCTGAATCTGTACGTCTGTGTGCTGCAGGTGCAGTGGAGGTGAGGAAAGAAGGTCTGGAGGCGCAGATCAACCGTCTAGCTGAACTCATCGGACGACTGGAGAATAAGGTGAGGAACACAGACACACCCACATTAATATGTTTTAATAACTAAGAAAGAAATCCCCAATGATGTGAGTGCAAGCAGCTGAAGTGACTTTTCTCTAATGGGTGGCTTGGCTCAGCCTCAGAGATAAGGTGAGGAGTTTGGACATTCAGAGGGAGCTCAGAGTAGAGCTACTGCTTTAATCGGATAGAGTAGGCATCTGATCAGGATTCCTCCTGGGAATCTCCTTTCTGAGGTTTTCTGGGCATGCCCAACTGGGGGGAGACCCTAGGGTAGACCCAGAATCCACTAGAGAAATAGTATATCTTATCTGGACAGGGAATGCCTCAGGTTACCCCCAGAGTAAGTGGAAAATGTTGCTGGGGAGAAGTATGTCAGGAATACCCTGTTTAGCCTGCTGCCAATCCAACCCAACTTCGGCTGAGATGAAGAAAATGGATGGATGGTTATTACATCTGGCATGTTAATTTCTGCATTTTATGGTATTTCATAGATCTGAAGCTATAAAATAAAAGCAGTGTGTGCAGTAATGTGAGCACATATCTGTGAACCTGGCACACTTCACACACATCCACTAAACCAGACCTCAGCTGCCTGCACTGCTCAGTAAAAAATGCATCGCTGTCTGCATCTTCCATTGGGATTCTCCTCCTCCCTTTGGTGCTCTATTGTTATTTCAATTCAGTTCTTTCAGTTTACAAAGTTTAAACTACATCACCTCCTTAAAAAGCACCCAACCTTTTGTTTTAGCTTCCAGTGGCTTATCTTGGATTTTTGAAGCTTTAATGTAAATTAGCCAATTGTTACATATTTCTGACATGAAACCTGTATGATTTAAATAATTGTAAACATTCTATAAGAGTTCAGTTTATCATCTCATAACCTCTCCTATGGGTTTAGAGCCACTTTAAGTCTATATACGGATCTTTATGGTCTTTCTTGGGGTTTTGCTGGCAATGCAAATCCAGCATCAGCTTCCCTAAAGCCTAATATTCAAAGCTTTACTTTAGGAAAGTAAGTTTTACCTCTTTCTCTCAGACTTTATCACTAACCCACAAAGTGATTAATACAGACATTCATCCTCAGCTTTATCGCATCAGTACCTCTGATTTTATTTATCTGATCTTTAAACAAGACCAGGTGGATTTTTTTTTCATATGAATATTCATCAATATAGATTGAATTGTCAACCATATATATTTAATTTGTGTAATACACTGGGATATTTATAACTAGAGCTATTTGTTAGATTTTTGTTCGATTTTGTAACTCTGGGAGCAACTTTGGCCACATACTTTCCTCTGTGATTAGTACGGTTTTCTGATTGTGAATGTTTAGAAAGTTCTGATCTAATGTCAAATTTCAGTGAAATAAAGAATCAAACTGTACATACAGGAAATACTTTGTTTTAAGGCCTTCTTTACAGAGTGAATAACACAACCTCTGATAAGAACTGAGTTCAACCTTAAAACAGATGAACAGACTGTGAGAATTGAGCTGCACTGCTGTCAGTTCTTTTAAAGCACCAGTCATCCTTTCGACACTAGAGCTCTTCTATCAGACACAAACGACTGAAAGTCAGTGATCTCTGTCCTCATTATAACTTTTTCTCTGACCAAGCTTGTCAGCATATGGAGGATTTGTTAGTTTGATATGTTACATTGGCCAAATTGCGTACACCAGAGCAGCACGCTGAAGGTCAGCAGAGGACAAAAGAGAGGAAAGTGTTGCAGGAGGGGGGGGGAATGATAGTCAGTGGGGGCTAATAAGCAGGTGGGAGTGGGGAGTGAGTAGCTGATTTACATCAAGTGAAAGAAATTGAAGAAAGTAAGAAACTATCACAGTGCATATTTTTTCTTCACTTCTTCTAAAGTCAAAAGATAGTTGCTCTAGTCAAAGATGCCTCTTCATCATCTTCCTTCCTCCTATCTGTCATTCTTGCATCTTTCATTTGCCTTCGCTCCCCCCCCCTCGCTGTCTTTGTCCCTCCGTTCCTCTGCATTGCCTGCATCTTATTCAGTACTGAACATGTTGCAGCTAATGGAGCCCCAGCAGACTCAGCTGTCTTTAGGAGAGTGAGCGACTACAGCAGAAAGAGCTAAAGAATACCTAAAGACTATGCACCGCTGTGGGGGAGGAGGAGTAGCAAGATGAGGAAGGATAGAGGGGAATCACGTTAGGAAAAAAGGATTGGAAGAAGGAAACAAAATGCTCGTGTGAGCAGAGTTACATCATCACTCATAATACCGCTTTAGAAACAACCTGAAGCCTTTAACCTCTTACTCTAATTTAATATACGTCCAACTATTTACTCAGTTTTGGCAGCAATGGCTGAAATGTTTCTTACCAAAGAACTGTTCAATAATCACCTGCAACCATAAATCCTCCAGAGACTCAATTAGTCTACTTTCCAGAAGTCTGTGGCACAAAGAAAATCTTTCCAATGTCGACTACTACAAACAGACAAGTTTCTTTTTTACCCCTTTAGATGGCGATAAAGTCAGGAATAATTCATGCATTTTACTTTTACTTGAGGGAACGTTGAATTGAAGCTTAAAATTTCTGAAAAGAGAGGTAGAAAGGAGAGTGACAGAGCATTCATTTATCAGCTCTTTCTCTATGAAAACAAGTTACCAGGGGGAACAAGGCATGTGTAAACTGAAAAGTAGGTTTAAATGTAAGTGCTTGTTGTCTTCATGTTATATAGGATTACATATTGTTGTCTTGTTGTGTGTGCAGCTATCAAAAATGGTGCTTCATGTGGCAGCACACCACCATTTCTACGTCACAGCAGATAAAGTGGATGGTTACAGAGTCACTGGCCAGGTCTTTAATGATATAGTCAACGTTTTTAAAAAGATAGACTAATTCACTTTCTTATTGAGAATTAAATCTAAAGATCATTCTACTCAGAAATGCACAGGAATTATAAAGCTGCAGTCTACTGACATGTAGCTCAGGCTCAAGAAGGGGTAAAAGCTTCTGCCTTGATCCTTCTCTGAGGCTCTCTGATAGGAAAACTGTCTGTGATAAGAAAACCTGAAGTGTTTTGCTTCAGGTCAAGAAATATAAACCTCTGTAAAGCCACACATCTGACTTTTATGTTTGTCTCTGCACAATCTGTACATGGTGTGCTGGACAGTATAACATGGAATTTTATAAGATTCAGGCGGTTTAATGGTATGTTGCATTATTTTTATGCATTATATTCATAGTGGTCAGTTTTACTATCAAATATAAAACACTTTAGTGTCACCATGCAAAAGAAATAAAACATAAATTAAATAAAACCACACACGAAAAATAATAAATAATCGACTGAAGGCTCTGTGAACAAAACTTAAACACTGGGACAAGGCCTCAGAGTCTCTACTTAACAGGTGGACATAATGCCACATTAATGCTAGAAGATAACAGCCAAAGACTTCCAGACAGCAGATGTGGCACCGCTGTCTTTGTTCAGTGTTTTTGGTACATCTTTGCTCTTCTCTCTCTTTTCTTTATCCTTTCTTCACTGGTGTTGGATGTCGCATGATTAGGATGACAAATGAGATCTGAAATGATCACAAATTGGGGTAACTAGAAGTAACTAGAAGTTTCCAAGCAATACTAGTACTGCGTAAATTTCATTTACTTAGAAATCTAAAATAATTTGCGTATCTGTTTTCAATTCAGTGTGATGCCTTTTATTTTGGAGGTTTTGCTGAAATCAATTTTCCACCTTGATAAAATTTTGATTTCAGAATAGAAAAGAAGACAAATTACTCGTATAATTACACTTGGACCAACAACAGGGAACAGCAGAAATCCGCTGCACGTGAAAAAGAAAATAGGTCACCAAACTTTTCTGTTGGAAAATGAGCTTTCAGAATAATGAGAGCTATAGAAAAGCACATGAATAGGCATTTTCTGCTGGATTAAATTTACAGAGGGCTGTACAGAATACTGCAGAAATCATACTGGATCAAAACAAAAGCTTTGTGGAGGTGTCTTAAATGTGTCTTTGCCTCTCTGTTTTGTTGAGTATTACCTGCACAAGTTTTAGTATTAAGACTGTGCAGGTGTCTGGAAGGAGAAGATATTATCACACTGTGTCGGAGTGAATCATGAATTGTTTACTCAATGAATAATAAGCCAGCTACACACTGAGTGATGCTGTACATGGTGAGATGAAAATAGTGTCTTACTTTGGCCCCTTTGCCTGGATATCACAGGAAATCCTGTTACCTACAAACCCTCCTTAAAGTGGCAAAATCATGGAGCCTCTGTTGCTCAGTCTTAGTTTCACATTCTCCTACTGTCATCCTTTTTCCTTACTTACAAAATATCATCATTTATTAGTCTCCGTGCACCACAGACCAGGAAATTTTGCTTCCCTTGAAAACATCCCTCTTAGGATAATGAGCTTTCATTGTAGAGGCTCATATGCAATCTCTCCTTTTATCAGCAAAAGTATGTGATGTTGTGTTTGATAACTTGATTATAGCCACATAAATGGCAATGCTTATGCTCACTTTTTAACAATTTTTTAAAATTACTGTCAAGTTGAATGTGAAAAAATAGTAAACTATTACAGTTCTGTCTTATAATCTGCAACATCTTCAAAATTTTTAACATCTTCAAAATTTTCCACATTTAGGACACATCGCATTCAGTTTGCATGTTGAGATGCAGACATATACACTATGTGGATAAAAGTACTGGACCAATTACGGCTTACACCTGCAGGAGCTGCACAGACAAGGACACCAATGCCATGAAGCTCCTATGCACTCTGTGATCCCACTCTGGAATTTTACTTGAGTTGTTGGCATTCCGAAATGCATTAGTACAACTTGCAGTTGACCGTGGAATATATGGGAAGGATGAAATTTCTTCATCCTAATACAATACCACACTCAAATTCAGCGACCTTTTTACGACAACTCAATTTTTCATAAATGTTTGTAAAGTCAAACTGCATAGCTAGGTGCTTGATTTATTTACACCTGTAACAACAGGACTGAAATCACCTGAATTGAAAGACTAAAAGGTGTGGTTGTCCACATATATACCATATATATGTGAACATATATATACCACAGATAACCAAATTTTCTTTGACTGTGTGCAATATGGGCAAAGAAAAGAATGGAAATCATACCCTGACTTAACACAAACGTGACTCTAGATGTCAGTTGACATTGCTCATTAACTGCAAGACATGTAAAAGGTAACCAGTGCTGCAAACATTTTGCTAATTAAGACAGTGAATCTGTTTACAATATTTCCACTAAAACAACTTTGTTTCAATTACAATCAAATATATACTCTGAATCTTGATTTCCCCTGCGTACTAAAACATAAAGGTAATTATATCTTAAGTATATTTTGGGGAAATGCATTTAGCTTAAAATTTGTACTTTTGTGTTTTTCCTATCCAACTTGAAGATCAGTAGTTTTGTAGCAACAAAGGATCACATGCATGAGTGAAGGCTTATCGGTGTTCATCTGGGACAAGATTTAAAATAGAATAGAATGGAATTTAACTTTATTATCATTGCACATGTCACAAGTACAAGGCAACAAAATGCATTTTGCATCCATCCAGAAAGTGCTTTAGCAAAAATATAGATATATTACAAAATATGAATCTATTATTGAACTATCTCAGATGCATTACTGCAAGACTTCGCCAATAAGAAAGTATGTCAGAATTTACCCTCTCCTGTTTCCCTGATAGAAGCAACGGCATGCAAATGACCAATAGAAGCCCAAGCAGACAACTGAGCTGATGGAATCAGTTGGAGAAACTTTTCTTCACTCCTCAAAGATGACTTCTTCAGTCTCAGCTAACTGCAGGTTTCATATCTTTCGCCATCTTACAATGCTGTGGTTGCTGCCATTCCCCAACTCTCTATGAATGATTCTCATGGCCACTGATCAATGGTCATAACAGTTTGCATACTAATGATCACGAAACAGAGCTGGTCAGTTGGTCAGTGGTGCTAATTTTGCTCTCTATGCAAATTTTAAGGAAACCTCCAGTCACCTAAACCTGATGGATGAGTGACGAAACTTCCTGGGATTTCCCTACCTGGCTGATTGAGCATCTTTCCTATCTTTCTTAAGAACATAAAAAAGTTAATATTATTTAAACCTTTTTTAGATCATGTTTTGGCAGTTTTTTACTGGAAACATCTTCCAAGTGATGCAGGGTGTAAAAGAAAGCAGCTGATTTGATTTGTAAATGCCTAAACTAATCTTATCTGACAAAATGTAGTGCAGTTCAAACAGAACATTAGTGAGGATAAACAGAGGGCTGAATATTCGACCTTAATTTGCTAAGCAGGCAGACTCACAACTCAAGTGAATGCTAACATGTTAGCTATATCGTTTTTGTGAGGCAGTAACACATTAGCATTGTGAGAAGAGCTTGTTAGTGAGCTTGCATTGCTGAAAACAAATGTTAATGCAGGTTTAATGGAATGCATGCCATTAGTACTGCTGCTTTGTAAAGCACTTTTAAGAAAACAGCAATGGGTAAACAAAGCTGTTTCACAAAAATGTCTTTCAGTGTAGCATGTGCAGTAAAGAAAATAGCAGGCAGTGAGTCTTTTATGTACTGAACAGCCAACAACGCACGGCACCTTTCATTTCAGTCCAGCTGTGACCATACTGTGTCACATTAGGTTTAAATCATTCATCCTAGGATTTGGTATGTGTGAGTGTCTGCGTGTCACCTGCCCACTGTGCCGGACGCCGTGATCCTGCTGAGTTTGGTAAAAGTCTCAGTTGCCCTCGGAGCTCCACAGACACTATTCAAACAGTGCTAGTCATCAGTCACCTTGGTGACAGACACCTGCAGCGCTTACTGTGATTTATTAGAGCGGGTTTATATAACACTTGCTCACAGGCAGTGAAAGTGGAGGGGAAAACTGAAAATCAATGTTGTGCCATCGTTGTACACAGTCACTATACTATTGTGCCACCTGGCTTTGCTCCTGTCTTGCCTGAAGGATATATTTGAACTTAATTTAATCGTGCCTTTCACTTAATTGACCTTTTGCTAAACCCGTCCCCTGAAGCATGGCTGTCTCGTAAGAGCAATGCCCATTATCTAAAGTATGGTCTGATTGTTTTTTGGCCTTTGTAAAATGCACAGGATGAGAAAAAGTTTACTGGCTCATTGCTACGAGGTTATGTATTTTCTGATTCACAGTCGTGATTGGGTAGAAATTTAAACGAAAAACTATTTTTTGCCCGAGTTGTACAGATATTTTGGCTTGCTGGTGTGAACTGAGGCTCTCCCAAGTATCTCTCATCCATAGAGCTCAAGGATGTTCATTTTGGCTTTATAGTCGCTCCAGTTGGGGATGTCGTTCAGGTGGAAATTTTAAAAGATAGCTGAGGGCCTAGGGGATTATTACCAGTTCTTGCTAGCGCTACACTGTAAAACACATTCTGCTCTTTGTTTGCATTTCTTCTTCTTGAATATTCAACTGCTCAGGGGGTGTTGACTTTTTGACTGGTAACCCTTTTTTGTCCTATTTCAGGCTCAGTAGTCTCTGGCACAGGAAGCCACAGGACGTCCCTAAAAGTGTTTGGTCAGAAACTAAACTCTGCTTTCAGGCTTTTTTTAGAGACTGTCTAGTGTCAGAGAGCTAGAAGTGAGAGATCGTCTTTTGTTTCCTTATGTGTAAAATGTAAAAAAAAGAAAAAGAACCGTGCAAGACTTTGTAACTAAGGAACTAGAAGGTTAGTAACTTTTTAAAAGAAGAAACAACAACTCCCCTAAATGCTTTCACGTCTATCTTCTTCCCCGTGATGTTCAACAGGATTGGGGATTTCTGTCTTCCATGTTTACATCTTTCATGTCTGCTTCTCTCAGTGATTCTCTCCAATTCCTCCTCGTTCCCTATCTTAATCTGTAAAATACATGTCCTCCTTCTGTGCCTGTCTCTGCAGCATGTCCAGAAAATCCTCATTGTGAGCTGCTAATGTGTGCTTCAAGTTGTAGTAGTAGTAGTAGTAGTTGCTGTCGTTGGTCTTGTAGATTGACATGTTGCTGCTGCTGTTGTTGTGCTTCTCCTTGCAGACGGTCTGGTTTGACCTGCACCAGAGGCTAACAGACACAGATGGCACCACCAGTGCAGTGAGTAGACTAAACACTTTAACGTTGTCCTCTACACTGCAGCACACAGCCTTGGGCCGAGCATCGCTTTCTGCTGCAATACCGTCCTTACACCGCACTACTCTGTTCCTGATGACATACCTATATGATGCAATTACTAGTGGACAGCGCTTATGCATGGCCAGAGCTCTCTAAAAATAGCCCTGCTCTGTATGTCTCTCTCATGGGTGTGAACTTGTGAATTATTTCCCAGAAAATGTGTGTGTTTTGTTGTCTGGAACCGAATAATTTATGGGCACCGAGTATTCTCCAGAAGAACAAATAGAGTCATACATTATCTTATAACATCTAACACCCACAGAGACAATAGCAGGCATATCAGGAGTGCAAGACACGTGCAGCATATTCAGTAGGATTTTGTTTGTGATAACAATCAGTGACTCATAGAAAAAACGATCTTCTTTACAAGCCGTATTCGGATTCAGTCATAAATCACAACATCTTCCGTTACAGAAACCCAAATATTTGACACCATTGTCACACACTACTCCAGCTAAGATAGCATATCGCAAACAACACATGTATGCCTGCAGTGAAGTAGAGATAACAGGGTGAGAAGTATGAATGCCTGAAAAGCCAAAAACAATCTTTCTTATAGCAATGTGGATTTATTGTAGTCACAGTTACTTTTCCCTTTCCTATTTTCCCTCATATAAACCAAAGACATAAGAACGTCCTTCACTAAGGTGTGCTCGTATATGTCTGTTGTTTAGATGGTGTCGTTTGCTACATTGATTCTTGCTTATAAAACAGGCTGAGGGGTTTAACTGGCTTTGGTATAAAGTTACAGTACATTTACACTAGAACAAGCAGCAAATGACCCCTGGAAAAATCTATTCCATGTGGTGTATTTATATATCAAAAATCAATTTATGCCAGTTAGAGCCATTAAGTTCTGTACAGATGCACCACTAAAAGCATGAACAGAGACATGAATATGTATACTTATTTGTGTCATTGTGTAAAGCTGTAAATATGCAGTTTAAAAGTATAAATTACAATCACCGGGCATGTGTCGACAACGCTTCAGTCCCTGGGTTGACCTTAGATTTAAAGAGTAAACAGTAAAAATGACTGCTGAGCATGTCTCTGAAATTCTTATACATTAATACTTAATATGTAAATGGTAAATGGCCTGTATTTGTATAGCGCTTTACTAGTCCCTAAGGACCCCAAAGCGCTTTACACATCCAGTCATCCACCCATTCACACACACATTCATACACTGGTGATGGCAAGCTACCTTGTAGCCACAGCCACGCTGGGGCGCACTGACAGAGGCGCCCCATGTAATGTATGCATTAATTTATTGCATGTACCTGTGAGCTGTAAAAATTTTGACAAAATTGATCAACAGTTCAGAGTGTTATACAGTTGATGATGAAATGGAAAGGCCCTTTGATGTAAAAGTTGAACTCAATAAAAACAAATATCAAAAGTATGACTTACCTTAAAAACCTGCACTCAACCATCCAAAGCAATGGGCAGTACACTAGAGAGGTGAAGAAGAGAGTGCAGGCAGGACAGTTTGTGACAGAAGGAAAGCAGCAAGAGCGAAAGGGAAGATTTACAAGACGGTAGTGAGACCTGGAGGTGACAGAGCTGAAGAGCTTTGTAGACAGTGATCCAGGGTGGACAGTTTTAGAAATGAGGTATAGCAGCAGGACAGGTCAGGGTAAGTTGCTTGAGATAAAGAAGAAAGGCTGAGATGGTTTGGAGATATCAAGATAAGGTATAGATAAATATATAATGGATGGTGAAGTTGAATCTGTCAGGAGAAAAGAGGAAGACAACAGATTGGATTCATAGATGTCATTAAGGAGGACATACAGAAGAGGTAGATAATTCAGGAAGCAGCTGAAAGAAGATGGTGAAAATATGAATTAATAAAACAAGGCTGTGACCTGTGCTTAGGGGGCAAAAATATATGAGCGTGCCAACATGTTGACAGGAATTTCGCAGGTACAAGATTTACTATGTTATCAGTCCCGGTTTAGCATGGCATCGTGGCCTTTATGACTTTGTTACAAGGTGCGGACAATTAAAAGACCGAAACAAAGACTCTTGTGCTGCCACTTTTATGTTGTCGAGAGACAACTGGGATTTAGTTGAGTTGTCTTAATCAAGGTAGTGACTCAACTAACCAGCACCACCTACCTTTTGCATCTTTCTATATTTGTCTGCCTCTTCCTTTAGTCCTTTATTCCATTTTTCATTTTAGCATCATGTTGGGGTTGAAGATGGTTTGGTGAACCGTCACTATCTGGGCCCTTTTACCTGCATTTAGTAGTCTGCTTCATCTGTGATTAAAGCCACACAACCTGAATTGGTTACATATCTGTGTAGGTTCTCAGGACATTCAAAGAAGTCCAGTTGCTTTCCTTTCCAGGTTTTAGGAGCCTGGAAAAGAAAGCAACTGGACTTCTTTGAATGTCTTGAAGAGGCACCTCTAGGATCCAGGGCAGTCCAGTAAATCTTATCTTTTTCCACCTATTCTTTAATAAATACATCTGTATGTAAGTAAAGTAAGTGTGTCAGTGCATATGTTTCGTGCATTTGTGTTTACATATACCCCAAGTTCAGGAAGTTTAACACAGGGCCTTCCTGTGTTTAAGGGTGACCTTTGTAATAATCACAAATGCGCTCTTGCCCTCAGCAGTCGAGCCACTTATGGCTCTCAATTTGCTGCTAGGTAGCCACGAGGGCCCTGACTAACTTGTCCCGTTGTCATGGCCACTGACACAAAAAAAGGTTATTATATAAGAGACTATCCACATGCGAGGGAGAAGTTTTAGAGCCCTGATTTGAAATTTAAATGCAGCTCCAGGAAACACTTTTAAAACGCTTAACAATGTGCAATTATAAAGAGAAGTAACAGGCAAAGGTAAGAAACAGGAAAATTAAACTTGAAAAATAATAGAAACATTTTATGAAGGCATACTTACTTTGCAGTCTTTAAAAAATAGATTCCAGTATAACATTGCGAGGCAATTAAACATAAAAATAGCTACTGGTAATCACCTTGTATAACAGGATCCATTTGGCTGTTTGGTGGCCTGCTTTACAAAGCAAAGTAAACAGTGTCCAGCTGGGACATTTTTTCCTATGAGATAATGGTGTTTGTGCTAACACACAGGCTAGGAAACCACTCTAGTGCAGTCCTCATGGTAATGCAGCGCATGCTTCATCTCACCATGTCAGAGCTTCCAAACATGTGCGAGTATTTGTGTGGAGTTTGTGTACACCCACAGTCAGTTCTTTTAAATGTGAAAACTCACATTCAGTTCACAAACATTTAGACACATTAAACCATTTTTTGAAAATGAAATGAAACAGTTCTTCAGTTCAAAGTGTGCATAGTTTAACTGACGGTTAAACATCATCATGGCCAAATGAGGACGCTGCATTTACATCAACCTACAAAAACATACATGCTTTAACTAAACCTGGAGTTTGTTTACTAAAGAAGATATCCTGAGTTTCATTTTTAACTTGTGACCTTGTGGCGTGTACTGTGCTTTATTGAAACTTTCATCCACAACTACTTTTCTCTTGCACTTCACAAAAGCACTGACCTCATTACAAAACACAGTAACAGTGATGCCTTCTTCTCAGCTATCAGGATGAACTCTCTGACATAGATATAAATGATCTAATTTCCTCCGAGTGATAATTTAGAATGTAAATTTAAAATCACAGCACTGCCACTGTTTTTTTTACTTATTTGTTAAGTCATGGTAAATTTGTCACATGCTATTGTGGTTGTGCAGTCAACTTTGATGCAGTGTAGAGCAGCAGCTTGGAAATAGTTTGAATGCTACTATCAGGATAACAATAGTGTTGTGTTGGGCTGTCTGACTGCATTGAAAGATGGAGTTGAGCCCAAAGAACGGTAAAGATTAATGCACAGCATACAATCCAAGTACGACGCAATTACTTCTTAGATGTGCTGATTAAAATGACAGTAATGAAGCTGACTTTAGCTACACGTTTAGCCTATTACAAAATGCAATGGCAATTTTATTTTAATAGTGCATTTGAACTGCAAAGTCAATGTGCTTAACACAGAAGATAAAAACATAAAAACCTGTGTAGGTTTATGATGTATTAAGACAGTAAAAACAGCAAAAATATAATAAAGCAAAATAAAACAAAACAAAAGCAAACACAAATGCACATTTTGACTGTAGGCCTGAGTAGGGATGGGTATTGATAAGATTTTCACGATTCTGATTCCATTTTTGATTCTGTTTAACGATTCGATTCTTTATCGATTCTCTTATCAATTCTTTTTAAAAAAGGAGAACACTAAGGTTGAATAGCTTAGAACTTTCTTTTATATCTTCTCTTTGAACAAGATAGAAATTTAGGAGTAACATGGCCTTACAAACCCAACAGTGAGATCTTAAGAGATCCAGCCTATGGCTCTTCAATGGGGTGTCACAAGGTCCCCAGGAAAAAAAATTGTAAATGTAAAATAATAAAATAAATATTCCTCTGTAGCAATAACAAAGTATAACATAAATTATTCAGTAGCAATTACACAAGAATATCCAGTAATGTCCCTGCCTACAATTAAACACATTCACTTACCGAAAATCAGGGGCACCTGCTGCGGCAGCCTTTTACCACAAACTTAAGTCACTGCTCTGTGACATTCGTCTATCCTGGCCTGAAAGGAGACGCTAACGGTAGACTGCAGCGAGAACTGCCAACATCTGAGCCAGCCAGACTCTGTCTGTCTCTCTCATCATGGTCACCTAAATGCACAGTAATGGCAGGTTTTGTAATAAGGCAGAACACGCTAACACAATATGCACTGTTAGTTGATTATTTACCTGCCGCATTAACGGGAGAGGACGTGCAAACGTTACCGCTGCTGCTGGGTTGAGATTCACGAGTCCGGAGCGGAATTAAAAACACGACATTCATTTAAGGTCATCGCGTGTTTTGTGAGCAAA